ATGAGAAGAAAAGACTCCCTGGAAAAGATCCTGATGTTGGGAAAGTGTGACGGCAAGAGGAGAGAAGGGGACGACAGAGGATGAGATGGCTGGACAGTATCTGCGAAGCGACCAACATGAAATTGACAAAACTACGGGAGGCAGTGGAAGATGGCGTGCTGTGGTCCATGGGGTCCCGAAGAGTCGGACACGACTGAACGACTAGACGAGACGAGACGTACACGATTATGTTGGATGAGGAACGCATTTGGCTTCCAGGCGCTCACCTGCCGCTCACCCCCTCAGGTCACTCCCCCCTCCCCTTCTGACACAACGAAGCCCAAGGAGACAAAAAGCTGCACCGCCATGGCCTTTTGAGTACATCTTTTATTTTCCTTTTTTTCCCCATGCGAGTCACCCGTCCCCATCACCTTCACCACCAGGATATCAGCAGCTGGATGCAACTCTCTTCCTGGCCCAATGATCTCCCAGCTCTAGCCGGCACCCCCTTGACTCTCCATCCCCCCCCCGTGCCGGAAAATGGATAATCAGATTTGCCCAGAGATGTTCTCCTCCCTGGCCCCCGCACGGAGGTACAGTGCTCTGCCTCCCAGGTCAGCACCTCACAGCCCAAGGTTCAAAGCCTGCCAATGCCCTGCAACACAAGGTAGGATTATAAGCAGGTGGAAGCTTGTGTGCGAGGGAAGCGCGCGGGGGGGTGGGCAGCTGCAGCAAGCAGTGGATGCCTGTGCTGGGGTGGGGTGTTTGATGCTTTGCAGCCCTGCAGGGCCAGGGGGAGGCCCCGATTCCTGCTCCACTCCAGCTGGTGTGGAACTCTAAGCCCCGCCCCGTCACTCCCTGAGATGCATGTGGGGGTACCAGCAAGGCTGGAGATGGGGCAGCAGTGGCCTGGGGAGAAACTCTCCCTCTCCCCACTTCACTTGCCCTTCCCCAGCCACACAAGAGGGTGAGTGGCTCAGCTCCCTGCCTGGCAGGCCAGCCCCATCTCCGGCGCCTGTTGGGGGGTCTTCAATAAAGCTCTTGTGGGGGTTGGGGGGGGCAGAGGGCAGGGCGGCAAGAATCTGGTTACTGCTTAATTTGACCACCGTCTCCCTCGCTGACAAAACGCTTCCGGCCCCTGAAAAAGAGAGAGAGAGAGAGAGAGAGAAAGGGAGGAAGGAGTGAGCGAGAGGGAGGAGGGAATTCCTCCCCCCCCCGCCAAGGGTGTGGGAAGCACACTGGAGGCTCTCACCTCTCCTGCTGTAATGCCACCAGACAGACACTGACCAGCCAAGCTGGGGGGGAGGGGAGGTGGGCAACCTCCAGAGGGGCAGAGGCTCTGTGTCCCTGGAGAGCTGCACCAACTCCGCCCCCCTGCACCCAACCCCTACCAAAAAAATGTTCTTTGGGATTATTTTTCTTAACTGCAAAAGCCCCCCCCCCCCAGGGAATGGTGGCCTAATTTCTATTTTAATTTTTTTCAAACTGTGTGGACACCACACAACCCCTGCAAACAAACAAACAAACAAACGGAAAATTTGCCATCCCGTGCCCTCTAGAGCAGGGGTCCAAAACAATTTTTGAACGGTGGACCGGTTTAGTGGGCAGTGAGCGAGTTCCGTCTGTGCAAGGGCGTGGCGTGTGTGTGTCCGTGCATGCATGTGGGTGGGGCATCCATGCGTCTGTGTGTGTACGTGGGGAGCGTACATGCCTATGTGCATGTGGGGTGAGTGTGTGTGTGTGCATGCAGGGGGGTAGGAGATCCGGTACCAGGGGTTTGGGTGTGTGTAGTTTGTCTGGGTAGTTTGGGCGGCATATAAATTGAATAAATAAATAAATAAATAAATATGTGCATGTGGGGTGAGTGTGTGTGTGTGCATGCAGGGGGGTAGGAGATCCGGTACCAGGGCACAGACCGGGAGTTGGGGACCCCTGCTCTAGAGGGCACAAAGATCTCACCTTTCTAAAAAATGCTTTTGAATCATTGTGGATGTGTGTGTCTGTGTGTGTTTGTACACATGCGCTACGTGTGGGCAGGGCGCCACCCACAGGCCCACGGTCCTGAAAAAGACAACTGGCCGCTCTGTTTCTCAGTGGCCTCTGGACAGGACAGAAGCCGCTTTCAGAGACGGGGCTGGAGCTGCACAAGGAGCAGATCTTGGGTTCAAGCCATCGCCTGCCCGAACGCGCATAGCAACTTGGGAAGTTAAGCAGGGTCTGGACCTTGGACAGGGGGCGGCCGGGAGCGAGACGAGGCGAGCCCCTGCGTTCCACACCGGGGACCCCGGGGCTCCGTTGCCTGGGAGGGTGAGGGCAGAATCCTGCTGAGCTCTGGGTGCCAAGGCAGGTGGTCCGTCTGACTCTACAGAAGGCCGTTTTCCATGTCCCTGAGGACTGCCCATCCCGTCAGCCACATTCAAGGGGTCCTGCTCTAAAACTGGCACCAGTGAGGCTTAGAAGGGGCATTGGGGCTGTACCGGGTGGGGCAGGCGTCCCTCAGCTGTTTGGTGATGACGCCCTCCTCAAAGCAGAGGTCCACCAGCCGCTCCAAGATGCTGTGGGCCAGCGGCACATCCAGGCTGATGTCCCCTAGCTCATCGTACACACGCTGAAAACCCTGGGCATGGGGGGAAAACAAAGGGGCACATGTCAGTGAACGCCCCCTCAGGGAGGATGTGCTCGTGATCAGAACCCGCAACCCTCCTCTCCCCAGCACAGTAGTCAAGAGCCCCCCTGCAGGGCGCAACGAGGCCCTCTGCCTCGCTCACCCACTTGGGTGCCCCTTCCGGCACTGTGTCCCCTCTGGACCCCTTTCTTCCTGGTCCGAGCCAGGTTTGCCTAGGGGGCACCTGTTTGGGAGCCCCACGGACGCTCACCCGGTTCATCTGGTCCAGGGTGATCAGGCCCGTCTCCCACAGCACCTTCAGCAACTTCACCATCATGGCGACGGCCGTGTCCCCCGAAGACTCCAGGACCATCACCACAGCCTGGCACAAGAAGGCAACACAGCCCTGAGTGCCCTGGAGAATGGCCGGCTGCGACCCTCGCGGGGGCCCCGGCCAGAGTGCAGAGCCCCTGCAGTGCAACCTGCAGAGCAAGGGGAGGATCGGGCCGCCACCCAGCGAGACGCCTGTCTCCCAGAGCCCAAGGTGGCCTCTCCCAGCCAGGCCACAGCCCACTGTTCCCGCTGCAAGGGCCCGATGCCTCTCTCAGGACTACCTCGTAGACCAGCTCGTGGTGGAAGTGGGGGACCTCCAGTTGGCGCAGGCAATGCTCTGCTTCCGAAACTTCTCCCGAAAGCAGGTACTCCCGGAGCAAGAGGTTCATCTGCAGAGAAGGGAAGGGAAGGGAAGGAGGGAGCAGCCAAAGGCCGCAGAATGGAGTGAGGAACTCCGCCCTGGGCCCAAACAGCCACCTGGGAGGCAGAGCTCTGTACATTCTCAAAGGCATGAAGGCCCACAGGTGGCCAGAAGAGGGTGGCCAGAGAAGCCGGGAGGCTCAGAGGCCTCCCGGTGAACCCATGGGCTTGAGGCACCTCTTTGCAGCCACTTCTTAGATTAGCTCCTCCTTGGGCTCTGCTTCTGAGCCGGTCTGGTGGAAGAAAAGCCCTGCCCTTCAGAAAGGGGCCAGCTTCCCCCTGGCCAAGGCCAGCCGCCTTTGTAGCCACTGCGAGGCTAGGACAGATCCGAGGGGCTCTGTGTCCCAGGGCGTGGGCGCCCTCCCTCCTCACAAGCACCCGCGGGAATGGGCACAGAGGCCCTCTCCCGGTTGTTCCCCTACAAGCCAAGCCCCGGCACATGAAGCTGCAGAGGGAGACGTCTCTCTCTCTCTCCCTCCCCCCCCCCAGATCTGGAGACCACTGGAGCCCAACGAGAGCGGGTGGACTTGCCCACGGACACGCCCGCCTGCCCGCCCGTCCCCTCTGAGCAGTGTGCCCCCAGGAACTGGCCTTCACCTCCTTGATAAGATGCTTGACGGGCCTCTGGCCGCCCCCTACGCCCCACACGTTGTCCAAGCGGTTGACGTCTCGCTTGATGCGCAACAGGACAGCCGCCCGATCCAGAGCAGCCCTGCAGGGAAGGCCGGAGAGTCAGAGAAGGACGGGGGGGGGGGAGAGAGAGAGACAAGGGGCATTGCTCGCCTTCCCTCCCCGTGAGGCTCCCCAAGGCCGCACAACAAAGGGCCAGTCTCCCCCTCTCCAGCAAGGCCATGGTGGCCACCCCAGGATGATGGAACCGGAGCGCATGCAGCCCTGGGCAGAGACCGGCTCTCTCTCACCGAGCATGCTCACAGTCGACACGCCCTTTGTAGCGCTCAAGGAAGTCGAGTGGCAGCGCGTGGTCGGCCACGGCCCGGGCGATGAACTGCCCCAGCATCTGCACAGACAGACGGGTGGATTGGGGTGGGGGGAGGCGGGTGAGACTTTAGGAAACGGAGCCCATCCTCCTCCAAGCCCCCTCCCCCCTCCGAGGGCTTCGGCCGGCCTCACCTGCGGGGCCTCTGGCGTGTCCAGGATGAGGTCTGGGAGGTCGTGCAGCATCCCATCAAAAGCAGCAGCGATGTCTTCGGGGCCCAGCACCTTCCCGACCAGGTCCGAGAGGAGGCGCGAGGTCAGCTCCCGGTGGCTGGCTTTCCCCTCCAGAGACAAGGCCACGGCCAGGGAGGAGACGGCAGCCTTCTGGCCCCCCAAGTTCAGCTCCCGAAGCAGCTCCTGTGGGGAGGGAGAGAGAAAGGGAGAGGCCATTCTCTCCCCCCCCACACGGGTCAGCCGAGGGAGCTTCCGTCACCCCGGAAGAGCCGGAAGCCTCTCCCTTGGGGCTCCGCAGAACCTGGGAACGGCAGGCCTCAGATCGAGCCCCGCAAGGGAGAGATTTATTCCTCCCTTTCTCTCTCTCTCTTTTTTCAAATGGGGACGCCTGCTTCCCTCTCAGAAACACTCCAGCTGAAACCCACTCACAGAGAATCAACATCACAAAATACAGAAGGAGTTCTGGCTTTTAAAAATTGCTGATTGGGGCTGGTGACAGGGATCACATCATCCCCCCCCCCCCGTTACAGGGGCGGCTGATGTGTTTCCGGGCAGAATTCAACCCCCTTTTTTTTATTTAGCACCCCCACCCCCACCTGCGGCTTCTTCAGCCTGGAGCTCTCCGCGGAGTGTCCTGGATCTAGTCCCAAGCCAAGCGGAGCCCGCTGGGAGATGGTTACTGGTCACTGGCATGACCCGTGGTCAAGCCCCTGCCCCTGGGGGAGATCCCCGGGCACCTCTTCGGCCGGGTCGGCACCCTCATGGCCCTCCACCTCCCCCCCGGGGGGGGTGTTCCTTACCACCACCTCCAGGGTGTCCCCGTGCTCAAAGTATTCCAGCACCATCGGCTGCACCGTCTTCTCCAGCTCCCCAGCTTCCAGCTCAGGAACCACCGTCGCGTAGACCGTGTCGCCCTGGGGAGAAGCAGGCCAGGCCGTGGGGAGCGGGCCCCAGCGCCAGGGCAGCCCCCAGGGCCCCTCCCCGCCACGGGCCCCTCCCAGGCCTGACCCGCTCGGTTAGCCAGACGCCCCTCTCAGGAGAGCCCCCCCCCGAGGGGAGCACGGAAGACACGGGGCCGCCTCCACTTTTGGGGTGTGTGCGTCTCTTGAGGGCCTTTCTTTCTCCATTGGCATTAGGTGCAGCGTCCACCCCCCCACACACACACACACCCCGTTGCCTGGTTATCTCAGGCCCTCAGGCGCACCTGTCTGGCCACCTCAGATCCTCACAACAACACAATTTTTCAGGACAAGGAAAGAGGCTTTCCTCCACCACCAACAGGGCTGGGGGGGGCTCACTTTGCCTTGACACAGCCAGGAAAGGGAGGACAGGTCTCCATGTACAGGATGTCAAGGGGGGGCAACTGACTCCTGCCACCTCTGGACCCTTCCCGGGTCAGGCCTGGGGACACCCCCCCAGTAGCCCTTGCTCGGCGGCCATTTGATGGGACGGTGTGTGTGTGTGTGAGAGAGAGAGAGAGAAGAAGAAGCCCAAAAGCCTTCAGTCCAGATTTCAGCCTAGCAGCCTCTTGGGACATGGTCAGAACTCAGAAGGGCAACAGGAGTCTCCCCCCCCCCAAAATGCCCCTCGGGGTGCCTCCCTTGGGATGTCAGGCAGGAAAACCTCCTTCCCTCCCACCTGGGAAAGGCCAACGAAAGGGACGAAGAAGAAAAGGTGGGGGCAGATGGAGGCATGGCTGCCCTTTTGGGAAAACCCACGGGCCCCCTTCCCCCCCCACCAGGCGTACCTGGGCCGCCTCGTCATAGTTGGGATCCCGCGCATCCGGCTCCTGGTAGCTGTACACCACACCTGGCGCTCCCCAAACACCTTTGCCCCCCGCGCCACCTGGAAAGTGAGAGAGAGGGGTGGGTGCCCACAGAGTCTCCTTTGCAGGCTCTACTGTCCCTCGGCCCAGCAGTGGAAGCTGAAGAAAGCGCGGCGGGGAGGGGGGCTGGGGGGTCTGCGGCATACCTTTCTTGGGGAGGCCCCGCCCTCTGCCCATGCGGGACTTGCGGTCGTGATTCTTCCCCTTGGGGCTGCTCGGATCCGGGCCGGGCTCCCCGCTTTCCGAGGAGTCGCGAGAGGACGTGCGCCTCAGCCGGCGCTTCGCCTTGGCCTTCAGCCGGGCCTCGTGCAAAGACTTCTCCTGGGGGGTCCAGGTCCTCGCCTCCCCGGCCCCGTCCATCAGCTCCTCCTCGGCCAGTGCGTCATCCTCCAAGCCCGCCTGGTCTGCCACCTGCAGGTGCCGCCACCGCGCCCAAGGGGAACGAGGTGGGGGGGGCAGAAGAGACGGGAGGTCAGGGCTGCCGAGCAACCGGGAGAAAATTGGCGCCTCCTCCCAAATGACAGCCGCTGCCACCCCCCACCCCCCCCATGCGAGGAGGCAGACGGCCCAGGTGGGCAGAGGGCCCTGCCGGCCTTGAAACTGGCTGGGATTCAAGCCACACTGGGAAACAAGGGTGGGGGTGGGGGTTAAAGCCCTGCCCCAGGGTCCCCAAGCCTGGTTTTTAGGGCGTCAGTTCCCCTCCCCTCTGGGCACCAGATCCCAGCGAAGCAGCAGAAATTGAGCCATTTCAGAAACAAGAAAACCAAAGCCAGAAAAACCGATTTCCTTCAGCGTCAGTCTTCATGGATTACAATCCGTTTCTTAATTGTGAAGACTATTTATTGTACTGGAAGTGCCAGGACTGTTTCCAAAATGAAGCATGATGTAGACATGATGTGCTGGAAGATGAGGCCCCCAGCTACAGGGAAAGAGCAAAGGAAAAGTACAAAGAGTGTTGGCTAGATGTAGCACAGGCCGTTAGGGGCTACAATGCGAAGTCTGGTCAAACTTCTGGGGAAAAACTATATGAGCATAAACAGGAACCAAGTCTCTGCTCCAAGTTACAGGTGCTAAAGATGAAGAGATCGCGGGCCTTTACGCAAAGGTCTAGGAGGAAATGGATCACACACCAAAATAAGACATGCTAAGACATGTGAGCCCCTTTGGGTTCCCTCTGGGGATAAAGGTGGCATTCAAAGAAATAAGCAACCATAAGTGGCTGGAACACAAAAGTAAGAAACAAAGCAGCATCAAATATAGTTCCGATAATTTTACCTAGGAGTCAAAAACAAAGCAGGAGAAAGACTCACAGAATTCTGGGATGCCAACAATCTGCTGATCGCAAATACTGTACATGCTTCAGACAACTTTACACCTGGACATCGGCAGACGGCCAATACAGAGATCAAACGGATTGCATAATCAGAAATATAAGAGAAGTTGTATTCTCTCTGCCAGAACATGAGCAAGAGCAGATTGTGGTAATAACCACAAATTGCTAAAATTAGAGTACAGCTGAAAAGGACCACTCACTGTGATGTAGCTGATAAGAGTGCTGGGTTTGAATCCCTCCTTGGCCAAAGAAATTTGCAGGGGGGAAAAGTAAAACTGGTAAAATCAGTCTCCAAATGTCTCACTCACTTTGACAATTAGGGCCACTATAAGTCAGATCTGACCCGATGCCACATAATATAAACAAAGTTGAAGAAAAATGCTGGAACAATTCTAAGTGCCAAAATATAATTTAAATAACATTTACAGTGAATGAAAAGTCCATATACAAAATAGATCAGATTCTTAAACTCCATTATTGTGAAACTGAAGAACTGTTGACTGAAATCTGAGATATTATTAGGAAAGAATTCAAAAGGATTATCCCTGTAGTAAATAGAAAAGGAAAGCCTAGATCGCTGACAGAAGAAACACCTAAAATCATTAAGGACAGGTGAGAAATGAAAGGGAAGGGGAATAGAAGTAGGGTGAAGAATCTGCAATTTTAGAAAGAGAAGTAAAAGCTGCTCTGAAAGCACCAGGAAGAAAACAATTGCAGGGGTAGATGGAATACCTATAGAACTTTTTCAAGTTGCAGAGACTCAACCTGCCAAAACCCTGACTAACATACGCCAGCAATTATGGAAAACAAAACAAAATGGCCACAGATTGGAAGCATTCAATATACTTTCAAAACTCCAAGAAAGAAGGTGCCAAGGATAGCAGGAACTGTAAGGTCATTGCATTAATTTATCATGGAAGCCAAGCAAGGCTCAAGGTTTTGCAACAAAAACTTTTACAATATATGGAGTGAAAATCCCTCGCTTTCAAAGTGGATTCAAAAAAGGAAGAGACACTTGAGATCATATTGCACATATCTGTTGGCTGATGGAACCCACCAAGGAATTTCAGATCAGTCTGTGCTTTATAAACTACAGCAAAGCCTCGGACTGCGTGGATCACGAGAAGTTATGGATTGCTCTGAAAGGAATGTGTGTGTCTCAGCACTTGATCATCCTGACTGTACACAAGAAGTGACTTTTAGGAGAGCATCCAGAGAGGCAGAATTGTCTCCTATAGGCAAATATATCAAACAAGAGTGTGTTTTATTGCCCTGTCCATTCAACCTGTATATAAAACATATGAAAAGGTGGGTTGGGTTTGGATGAAGAAGGACAAGTGAAAACTGATGGAAGAAACGTCCGTAATCTAAGGTATGCAGATGACACCATCTTACTAACAGAAAGCAGCAATGACGTGAAAGGACTTCTGATGAAAGTGAAATAAGGAAGTGCCAAAGCAGGACTGCAGTTGAACATTAAAAAGATCAAAATCAGGACTACAGAAGAAACTACACAACTTTAACGCTGACAATGAAGTAACTGAAATTACTGAATATTTTCTATACATTGATTCAGTCATCAATCTAAATGGAGACTGCAGTGAAGAAATTAGAGGAAGACGGAGACTCAGAAAGGCAGCAATGAAGGAACTAGAAAAGACCATTGAGCGTAAGGATGTGTCCTTGTATTCCCAACTACTATGTGCAAATGTGAAAGTTGGACAACGAAGAAAGAAAACAAAAGAACTAGGTTGTTTGAAAAGCAGTGCTGGAGGAGAGCTTTGTGGATACCTCTGACTGTCAGAATTTGCAACAACACATGTGGGTCCCTGAACTTTCTTTGCCTGCAAAAAGGGACAGAACTGAGGCTGTTAAAGAAAAGCCTTTCTCTGGAAAAGGCAAGGGCCCAAATCGCTGCTTTGCAAAGTAATTCAGGTAACAGCAGGCTCACTGAATCCATAGGGATTTAGTGGTTCACCACTCTGTTTCACTGACTCAAATGGGCCTACTCTAACTGTGACTTACTGTGCTCAAGCCATCTGTAGTTTGGAATGGAACATATGGCAGAGTTGACTCACCACGTCCCCATGGCCTCCGTGGGCCTACTCTAGTGCAATGTGCAATGCTAAGTAAGCAAGGGGATTGGGATCCCGACCTAAAGGCAGGCGGGGTGGAAGGCAGTCGGAAGAGGGTCCTTTCCGGGCCTGGGACCCCCTTCGCTGGCCTTCAGCTCCGCTCGGGAGCCTCTCGAAACTCGGAGGGCGACCCAGGAGGCCCCGCCTCGCCCAGGGACGCAAACCAAGCAGGCAAGCAGGCCGGTCCTCCCAAAGCCGCCCCCTTCCCGGCCGGGGTGTCCGAGCG